TATTTAGCCCTATTTTTTCTCAAACCTATTTATTGAACATTTTCCAACTTGAACAAAACACACAGGCATATAAACCATGATCTTTAAAAAAAAATCGCCAGAAGAATAAACAGATTTATCCTAGGCCACTAAAAGGAAAAATAAAAAATTGAGATAATCAAAAATCAAGTGGAGAACCACACTAAATACATAGTGGTAGTACAATACAAGTTCAAAATCGTATGCACTCACTTGGAGTACATGAATAGGAAAACTCTTCTACAGAATAGTTGACATTTCATTCCCTAGAAACTGACCTGGCTGACCATTAACTAAACATATTCCAAAAATATTCCAGTTGAATTAGTTCACTTAAAATCTTGTGCCAGCCAGATACAGTGCCTTGCGAAAGTATTCATACCCCATTCATTTTTTTCACTCTTGTTTCTCAGAGTTTGAGATTCCTTTAGGTGTTTTTATGCAAAATCCAAGTGTGTTTTCACGTGTCTTCACTGAGGAGAAGATTGAGTCTGGCCACTCCGATATGAAGCCCAGATCGGTGGAGTGTTGCAGTGATATCTGTCCTTCTCTAGATTTCTCCCATCTGCATATAGCATCATGGAGCTCAGCTGGAGTGACCATCAGGTTCTTGGTCACCCCTCTAACCAACCCATCCAACACACCTATGTGGGGCCCATAGATCTCGCGAGAAAGTTGTCAGCACAATTAAAGTGGCTGCATTTTTTTTTTGCTAAATGTCAGTGGAAAATTGTGTACAAATGCAGGAGTGTCGGAATTTTTAGATGTTGATTAAGTAATCCAAGTGTCAAAACAACAACAAAAATAATTTTAAAGACACATATGTGCACTATATATATCCATGTAATCACCCTATATGGGATTAATTATGTTTGCACTTGTATATTTGATAAAACAAATAGGGTCCCATGTGTAGCCCATTTTGAGCCCATGCACAAATTTCCCATTAATTACCCAACTAGGAACCACATGGGGAGCCCACCTGGGTTCACCCATGTGGGTCCTAGCTGGGTCACCCAAGTGGGCCCCAGATAAGATGCCCATTTTATGCCCATGCCCACTCTGTACCCCTGTAGCCCATGTGAAACCCATTTGGGCCCCACATTAACGTGTTTGCTGGGAAGACCCTTTTCCGTCAATTGCTCAGTTTGGCCAGGAGGCCAGCTCTAGGAAGAGTCCTGGTTGTTTCAAACTGTGACCCTTCAATGAAGCAGATTTTTTTTTCTGAAATCTTCCCCAGATGTGTGGCTTGACACAAACCTGTTTCTGAGCTCTACGGGCAGTTCTTTTGACCTCAGGGCTTGGTTTTTGCTCTGATATGCATTATCAGCTGTTAGACCTTTTATTAAGATGTGTGTGCCTTTCCAAATAATACCCAATCAATTGAATTTGTCACAGGTTAACTTCACTCGAAGTGTAGTAACATTTACAAGCAATTTGAATGCTCCTGAGCTAAATTTCAACTGTCCCAGATAAGGGTATGAATACTTATGCAATGGAATCATTTAAGTTTTTTATTTTTAATAAATTAGCAAAGATGTTAAAAACCTGTTTTTTTGCATTACCATTATGGTGTATGGAGTGTAGATTGATGTGTGAAAAAAGTAATTTAAAGCAGTTTAGCATAAGGCAGCAATTTAACAAAATGTGAAAAAAATGAAGGGGTATGAATATTTTCACAAGTCACTGTATATTCAGAATCTTATCATTTATCCACCTCAATAATATGTTTTTCCTGGCTGCAAATGTAAGAAGATTGTAAATTCTCTTTTCATTTGATAACAACAACAACAACAAAAAAGATACGTCAGACCAATGATCAAAAATAAAGGATCCAGTACCAACTGCTTATCAAAGATATTACTCATTTCAGATACAATCTTGGCCCAGTATATTTTAACTGATTACATGACCAAAGACATTGAGTTCGAGTACCAATTTGTGTTTTACACTTAAGGCATAGAGGTGAAAGGGTATTGTTAAATGCAGTGGGGAACCATCAGGCTCAGAGTGGGCCTAAACTATTGTAAAAACAATTTTTACATATTTTTTTTAAAGGACAAACTTTTAAATATTATTTTTAATAAAAAGTCATAATTTTCCCTTTTTATTTAAGCAATTCATAATTTCACAATCATCATCTAAATAAAATAAATACAATTTCTGTGGAAATATACTCTTCAAACCAGTGAATGCTTTAAATGAACTCCGCCCATTTTCTCCATATTAGAATGTTTCCACCTAACGTTTGCGGCTCTGTGATTGTGAATTACAGAGGGCCAAGCAATAGTAAATCAATGGTAGCGGAATTTTAAATGACAGAAAAACTGACCAATCATATCTTTCCTTTAAATGGGCGGGCCTTGTTATCACTAACTTTGACAAGTGGATTTTCATTTGACTTAAATTTAGCTATGTTTTATTTTGGTGATATCAGTCTATCTCGCTTTTTCTTGTTTCATTTCTGAAATGCGGTCGCACACCGGATGAGAAGCGCAGCGCCGCACCGCTGCCGTGCGATACATGAGTCTAGGGCAACTTATCGCACACCGGACTAGGGCTGGGTATCGTTAAAAAATGTTCGATATCGATACCGATACCGATACCTTGACTTCGATACCGGTTCCTGAACAATACTTTTTTCGATA